ACTTCTGTCCTCCATGGTTTTTAATGATTTGTTAGGTGCTGATCACCGTGAAGATCTCTTTAACATAAGACGTCACTTAACTTGAAACTTTTGCTTGTTTTAAGAATCTCTGTCTTTGGCCTTCCACTGTTTGAGTATCAGGTGTCTAGCCGTGATTTCTTAAGAGTTTATTTTATTTCTAGTTCATTGAGCTTTTGGATGTATTTAACTGATTTTTTTCATTAAATTTGCAAGTTTTGGCTATGTGGCAACTATGAAAATCAAATTGTGGCCAAGGCAAGTTCAAATGATAGCAACAATAAATTGAATTCTGTTTCTGACTCTAACCTGCTAGTTTAAAATTAGATTTAGGTCTATCCACTCAAGCCAACAAAACATCAGAGCAATTTCACTATGAATCTACTATGAGGCTATTTTTCACCATATTCAAATCTTCCTCACACCTAACTTTTGTTTTCTTTCATCCGATTTTGGAAATTTGACAATAACATTGTTAACTTTGTCTGTAGGTCTCTTCCTACTTCCTTCCCTCACTCCCTTCCCTTTTATCTTTTCACAGGAAGGATATGATTCTCATATGCCAGCTTTTCTGCCTCTAGGTTCAGCCCAGCCTGATCTCATTACACTGTCAATAGAGAGAACCCAGAGAGCTCACAAACCTTCCATATACCTGTCTTCCAACAATGGGCGTTTTTCTACACCCAGCAGGGCACTCTATAAACGAATGTTCCCTTAACATTCTTTCAACAGACTTGTTTCCTCCTTCATCACTTCTGTGTGCTCTCTACGACATTTCTTCTCTAGGAAGCTTGTTTCTTCCTCAGTAAGAAAAATAAGGCAAATATCTTAAAATGCTGTAACACTAAAATTCTAGGCTATATGTGAAATACATGTGATCATTCCCCCTGCACAGACAGTATCTAAAGTATATAGCTCTTTTTATATTCTGGTTTTAGTTTATGTAATATTTCTATTTCAAAACGTAGGTGCCAAAACTTTATATAATTAATAAATATTGCAACTCAGGATATCTT